TGATCTGTAAGATTTATATGGAAAGGCTGTATGTGAGGGAAGATACCAGTAATCTAAAAGAAATGATCAAGGCATATGATATTCACAGAAGTGAAAGATCATTTAGAAAATAGTAGAATCATGAATTTATTGTTGATATTTAAGCATTTAGAGTCTTCCATGAATTGATTATGTATTTTTTCTTTCTTTAAGGGGTTGCAGGAAAATGTATTTACAGAGATGTGAGCTCCTGGTAATAATATACTTATTTTATGAATGAATATGAAATTTCCATAGGAAACTATTTGTATTTCTTTTGTAAACTTTGTATGTATCCACTTAGGTAGTTTTAAGTACCCATGTAAAAGCCATTTAAAGGTATGTATTTTTGATTGCAGATATGTATGATTTTTTTTAACTTGTTGCAGTAGTTGATAAGGGTTTGGGATATATTAATAAACCTTTATTTTTGTCGTAAAGTGTACAGACATGGATTGACAGGATAGGATGTATGTAAATATTATAGTGTCCTGGTATTATATTTGTGATTATCTTTTGCAAATCAAATATCAGATATCAGCTGCATATCTTTTGGTATGATTTGCGTGTTTCTAATCACTGAGTTTTATTATTTTTAAATGACAATTTCAAAGATACAAAGTGCAATTTTAAAGTTTCATAAGTTTGAAATGTAGAATCAGTCTACCTAATATTGTTAAGACAGAAATGATCCAGATTTCTTATATAAGGTTAAACTATATAGTAGAAAATTCTTGTAAACTTTAGTTTGCTCTTAGTTTTTTATGACACTGTGATTTGAGTGACAGTCGTACAGACATGAAAAAAGTTTGATGAGACTATAATGAAACTGAACAGTGGCATGATTTTCCAAGAGAGGATTTTAATTGATCAATTGAGATGTTTTTTGACTTTCAATTTTTTTATACTGCTTTTTAAAACTATTAATGAATCTTGTGGAAGATATCTATACACATTTATTGTAGTATTTGTGTACAAAAGGAAACTAATGAGACATATGAAACACTAATTTATGTAAATATTTTAAAAGTATGGAAACATTTGTCAGAGTTTGTTACTCATAAGTTTTATTTATCATTTTAGAATATTATCTTTATGGGTTTTTGAACATTTTTCTGTAATATATATCTTCTTGGCAAAAATATATTTAGCGATTCAAGCAACACTTTGTATATAATATAATATACATTAATATTGAATGATAAAATCAGCTTATAAATGTTTTTTGTTTGACATTAATATTCACAGACTGCAGTTCTAACAAATTAAGAAAAAAACATGTATTATTCTATTTCATTTTACTAAATGGTTTAAAACCTCTTTGTCACTGAATCATATTGATCTCTGTGGAATACACAATATGTTACAGGTTGCATTAGCCAAAATTATTTTTCTATTGCTAGCTGTGGGGAAAATCAGGCATTGCAATTGTTTCCTGTTGCCAAAGTTGAGTCCCAAATATTTGTATTGACTGGAAATTTGACGTATTGAGGAAAAGTTTAGCTTTTCCTTAGCACAATCTCATATGAATAAAAAAAAAATATGAATATTTATGAATAAATATTTGCATGTCTTCACATCACCACCATACCATTTTTGTGGATGTAACTAGTGTTCAATTTGTGTTTATCATGTATCCTCATGAAGTAAAAACACATTTTTGTGGTTTTTCTTGTTTACTTTGTTTCCTTGCACATATGGATGTAAATATTTTGCCTGTTTATATGCTACTACTTATTGAAGAACAATGGCTTTCTTGAAAGTTCCTTGTTTTTCATGTTTTGCCTTTTTGTGGCAGTCATCAGAAAGATTAATAATAATGAAGAGAAGGGGAGACATAAAGGATCTAAAAAATCCCACAAGATGTGATATTTTAAACTGAGAAAGGCAGTAACACCCATTACCCAATCATTCAAATCTAGAATTAGTTTTTATCTCCCTCATTCAAAGTGATATTGACAATTACCCTCGGTGATGCTCGGATGGCATGCACATGTGCCATGTCCACTATGATTTTAGTTTATTCAAATTTGTGCTCACACTGGTGACTCTACAAGGGGAGTGTGGCTTGCAGACTCCAGCCACACGAATACTCATGTTCAGTACCTAGATTTCTTATCTCCTCTTTGAAATGTTATCTCATGACTGGCAGGAATAGGATCCTGAGCATGGAAATAGTGTCCTCCCTGGAGGATGGCTCACAGGGGTGGGTGATGTGAACATGCTGTCATGGGAAAATCTGGCTGTGGACCAGGTGACTCGAACTTGCTCTCATGAGTGTTTTGGCTGAAGGCTGGGGTGACAGGACACTTACCACAAATGCACAAATATCTTGGGATGGTGATTTGACTCACTCGGCAATTTTGCATTATCCCCATTGATAAATGAGAATGGAATGTAATTTTCGTGAGGCATGATGGAAGAGCGCCGGCTCCATGGAGGACACCACTTCCATGCTGAGCATTGTATTGCTACTGCTGTGACTAGCTGTACAGGTTGCATTATAGAAAATTTAATATTACGGAAAAAAAGACAAAGAACATAATGCTAAATCTTTTTTTTTTTCTTGCACTGAGTTGTAGACAACCCGGAGAGATAATGTGGAGTCTGTGCAAAGAAAAGTCTATTACCATCTGGATAATGCAAATGAAATGACAAATATGGACATTGGAAAATGGCAAAAAAACTAAAAATGCTTATGCATAAAAAGATGAAATAACACTGCATATAGTAGACATACAGACTTGTCACTGCACATGAGTGTCTGTGTGCACCAGGCAGAGCGGCTGCTCATGTAAGCCTAATGCACAGATTTCTGGCCGTGTGATTGCTGTGAAGCAACCGGATCTAAGGGTTCAATGATTAGAAGAAATAAATGTGCTAGATATCAAAGCACTATGGTAAATTATTGTAGCAAAAATAGTGGAAATGAGTCAACAATTAGGATAAAATGTGTTAGATGTAGAAGTAGAGGAATAAACCAGTGAATGAGATATGGGAACAGGGGAAGGTGGTGAAGTATAGGGAAGACTATCAGGAGGGGAGTGATCCAGAGGACATAAGAGTGTCACATGAGTATCCAGATAGGAGTGGTAAGGATAATGAGGAAGAGGGAGTGGTGATGCACATGGAGGAGAAGAGGATGAAGTGTTTTTTGGGAGAGTGGAAGGGAGTGGGGTATGGGAATTTGAGGAAGAGGGGGATGGATATCGGCAAATACTTTAAATGTAGATCAAATAAGAATAGAGGGATTAGAGGGTGGATGCGGGAGTAAAGCATTCTCTTTGGTTATGTTTTGGAAGTTTAGGATGTCTCGTGCATTTCTGGAGGGAAGCTAGGTGGGGAGAAACAATTTTTTTTATGTGGAGTGGAAGAGGGAATAGATGTCTAAGGAACAGACAGAGAGGTGGGTGTAGGAGAGAATGTGGCAGAAGATGGAGTTGAACGTTTAGATTGTCTGGTGCAACAGGTAGGGTAAGGAGGAGGACGGGTAGGCTTCCGGAAAGTGGTAGAGATTGGAGTATCTGGATTGAAACTGGAAAAAGAATTTGACTTGGGGAGAAAGGAGTAGAGATAGAATAGTATGGGGTAGAGAGAAGAGATAGTGGGGGAGATGTTGAGACTTTTGAAAATGGGAAGGGATCAGAGCATAGTACAGTTCTGGAATAGATAGAAAGAAAAACCTCATTGGCATGCTTCTTGTCTAGCCTCACATACAGTGACGCCTAGTTTGGCCTCGGGGGGGAACAGTGTATCACTGGACGGCCACTGCATCATGGTCAATGAGGCATGCAAGCAAGTTATTTTCACACTCTGACCAGTCCTTGTCCTAAACAGGACAATTAGTCAGAGAGACAGTTCTGTTACAAATATTAAGGGAGGACTGGGGTTGGACAGGAATAGGTTGCCAGTGAGGTCAGTCAGGGTAGATAATGCACAAGCTTAGGACTCAGATGTAACTGTGACAAGGCATGAATGATTGGAATGACTGTGAAAGGAGACTTTGCCTTCTTTTTTTGGAGATGTTGTTAGAGGAGAAGGATACTGTGAGAGTATGGGGCTGCAGGGGGAATCAAAGAATAGATCCTACTTGCTGGGCCAAAAAGGGTACTCTAAAGACTTGCAGAGGAGGAAACAGTAGAAAGGGTACTTTAAAGATTTGCAGAGGAGGAAGTAGTAAATGGACGAGGCAGGAAGGAAGATGGGGTGGTATTGAGACAAGTAGTTGGCAGGAGGACAATAACAATGAAGAATAGTAATAAGGGTGGAGGTGTTGAGAAAGAAGACCTGGTAATGACCTGGGTGTATGATTCGGAATGAACAGAGTTGATAGCAAATGTTGAGCAGGAGGTATTAGAATCTGTGGTTGGATCTGTAGTCAAAGGAGAGGCAGGATCAGGAAACCAATGAAATAAAATCAAATAGGTTAGTTGATGAAGGGGCAACCTTGAATGCCCTTAACAAGGGTAAGAAATTGTCATGGCCTTGGTGAGCCTGAAGTAAATGGTGAGAAGGAATGGTCTACCCCTCAGGTTCTGCATGAGGGGTAAGGGCTAGACAATTAACCAAGGGAATATGGTGCCCATGGCTCTTAAAAGCCATTCATGACTGACACAAAGCCAGTCTTTCATCATTTCAGCATGGCTCTCACATCTTAGGAGCTGGACAGAAGGGGATGAAGAAGAGAAGGAAAAGGAAAGAGGGAGGAAAAAAGATCCTGCAAAATTATTTGAGGCAAGGGCTATGGTCCAAGGTAAGGGTCGTCCCCTACACTGGGTCCTAGACTCCATCTCCTAGGCCATCCCATGACATCGGACAAAGGAGGTGCTTGTGGAGCCAACTATTTCCATGGATAAAAACACTGCATTGGACAGTGCATGTCTCTTTTGCGCTATAATCTTCCATTCTCAAATACAGTAATCAAAAATATAAAATCAAATCAGAGCAAAAAAAAAAATTGAAGGTAAATGAAAACATTTCTATTACAAAATGGTTATTTAATAAAATACTCCATTTAACAACACAAGATAAATTAAAAAAACCTATACCTTATTAACTTTACTATTTATACAGTTAGATTTTTTTCTTGGCTAGTCTACTTAATTTCTTTTAATACAATTTCCTTGAGCTGGAGACTCGGAATTATAGATACAAAAATGCATGATAATGCAATTGTGGATAATCATTAGAGGATACAGTAAAACCTCGGTTTTCACATGCCCTAGTTTTTGTATGATTCGGTTTTCGATGACTTTTTTCATTTAAATTTTGTCTCAGTTTTCATACATAGCATATTTTGCACAGTTCAAATGAACCATACACCTGCCTGTGTGAGTCGGCCATTCATTTCCTGGAATCAAGCGCCTGCACAAAGCATTCCATGTGTTTGTGACTCAGGCCTTGACACCTGATACCTTAAGGATGGGGATTCCCCTTCCAAACAATAACCTCTCCTTTCCTGGACATTTTCCATATGCCAAATAGAGTCTTCGGTAAAGGTAAAAGTGATGTTAAATGATCTTTTATCCCTTTCATTAGTCATTTTATTTATTTGTCAATGTTTTCTGTATGTAAAACTATAGTTATTCTCTTTAAAATGTATTATTTAGAAATATTTTTGGGTGTCTAGAATGAATTAATTGGATTTACATTATTTCTTAAGGGAAACATTGTTTCAGTTTTTGTCAGTCTTTCTGAATGGATGAATCATGAATACCGAGGACACACTGTATCCCATTCAAATTAAAACAATGGCTTTAACTAACAAATTGACAGAGAACAGATTTGTATTAAAAATGAAAAATCAAATATTATACTCACACAAAAATTTAAATATACATTATATAAATAAAGTGAGCAATTTACCAAAGTGGAAAAATATAAAAAGTGCTGCATTCTTTTCACTGTCCTTCTCTGCTTCATTCCTTGTTCTCTTTCAGATTGTGTAGCAAGAGGAGATTCCACATATACATGCTGAACATGAAGAGCCACTTTGGGCAGTAATTTTCCGCAGCATGTTTCTGCAATGAGAGAGGTTGCATAAGATACTGAGGTTACTTAATAAAATGAATAGGAAAAAAGAGGGTGACAAGAAAATGGTTAAGACAAAGACAAGGAAAACACTTCTGGAAAAGGAAAAGGAGAAAAAAGGAAAGCAAAATGCCAGGAGTAATGTTGCTGCTCCAGGCTCTGACAACATCACTCTTTCTAATTTGGAAACATCCCCCTTTAGTAACCAGAAATCAATATATGAACATGAAAAAATTGTCTTAAGGGGCAGGAGCCATGAACGTGAAAGAAAGACAGAAAGAATTGTCTACCATTATGACATCTGGCATATTTTCCAAGCTCTCATGTCACTAATACATATGAATGACTGTTTAGTTACAGATCATTATGCCACTACTGGGGCAATGCCACATCTTAACAAGGAGTAATGGAATAACTGTACCATGAAAAAAAGAAAAAAGAAAAAGAAAAGAAAAAAAAGTGGTTTGCAAAAATTATCATCATTGAAAAAGAAGAAAAGAAATAAAAAGACAGGAAAATTTAAAACTGGAGCTCCAAAAATCAATTTTTGCTTTCATTATAAATTGCTCAAGTATTCAAATTACAGATATATCAACATAGAAGTGACAGTCTTCTTAATCAGCAGGATTACTGCATTCAGAGGGAATATTAGAACTACTTTTACAGATTTTTATCCTCGGCTTAATATTTATACTGTGGCCTTCCCAGTCATTTGAAAATGATCTGAAATGATCTGCATGCAATTTTAATTCTCTTTTACTATTTTGTAATAAAAAGAACACCATTTTAACCCGGAATGCTTGCAAAGCCCCCAATACCTGTATTAAGATTATCTATATATTGACCCAAAACAAATTCACCAAAAAATATAATTGTAAGTTTGGGGCTGAACTGATGAAGTTGTCATTGTTGAGCGAGAAAGACGTCATGACATAACATCACTCATTTAGGACATATCATATATAAATTATATATGTAATCCAATTAAAATTTTAACATTAAACAATAAAGTTCAATAAATATATAACTACTGATCATCTCTAGTAGAAAGAAAGAAAGAAAAATAAATAAATAAATAAATAAAAATGGAAATAAAAAGAAAGAGAGAAAGAAAAAGAAAGAAAGAAAGAAATGGGAGAAAGAAATATTCCCCATATGACCCAAAATATGCAATTTCATAACATGATCCATAACATTCCCTTGATTAAACAGCAAATATGCCACTTTACCCCAAACATTACTCATGCCACAAAGACAGAATTCTGCTGCCAATTATGCTTTTGCACCAATTATTTCCCAAATTCATTTGATAATTGAATAAAAAATGTTTTGTAACAGGTAATTTACACAGCAAAATGAAATGGAACCAATTTTCTTTTTAATACAGTTTATGCTGAGGATAATCTTATGTGTGCTGAGTTGCAAGATCTTGCACACCAACCCACTGCCCATCATATTCTATGCAGATCTAGCATAAATTCCATAAATACCCTCTCTTACTGGCTGCCTTTCACATTGAATGACCTTCTGTCACACAAATTTATTTTCTTTACATCTATATGACTAATTTCAAGAAACCTCACTGCTGGGGATCATAAGAAGTAATAATTCCTGGTTTGTTTTAGCCAGCAGCACATTCCCTCCTCCTTGACATTCCCTCGGTCATGCTACAGGGCCCTAGTTCTTATGGCCTTCTTTACAGATTAGTTCATTGTGTCTACTCTTTTCCAGCCATTTTTGTTCCTTCTTCTTTCTTTTTTAACTCCAGCATGTTTTTTATTCTTTACTTTGAGTAAAGGGGGGAAACTTCTAAGCACATCTTACAGAAATCAATCAGACTTTTCAATAGCCTGGTGTTCAAGATCTATGTATAATTAATGAGCGATAAACAAATAAATATCAAACAAACCATGTCTAATAACTAGAGTGAACAATGCTTGAACACATCAAGAGGAAGGCTAAAGACCTAAAATGAGCACTTCTACTTTATATTCACTATTATCTTTAATGAAAGAGCTTGGCCAAAATTTTGCTGACCTACATATAGAATATTAGGAATGAAAGTTGATGCAGCACTGTACATACTCTGTGCAGTGGTGACTGGGAATAAATAAAGTTCTTTCTTTTATCCAGATTCTGTATATCAAAACCCAAAAAGTAATGATAATAGCAAAACATAAAACAAGGATCATAATACAGTAATGATCAGTTATAATAATAACAATAATACTAATAATAAAAACAACAACAACAACAGTAATAACAAGCAAAGAAGCAGAAAAAAGGTAAACATTTCTAAACAACATCCTGAATGAAACTTACCGCAATTCCATGAATCCAGTACCCACTTGTACGACAAGTGTATCCTATGGTTGCAATGGCATGAGACACAAATGTTGTTGCTGTTGGGACTACTGGACCTTTTGGATAAAGAAACATATTTCATTAATATTCTAATCTAGACAGTATCTTCAACTGAATATTAAAACAAAAGCATTCATAGGTTAGATATTGTGAATATGAGCTATGATGTGGACCATTAATAATAATCATATTTACTCCATGTACATGGCATGGCATTGCATGTACATACATGCCATGCCCACTGTGAGATTAATGTATGAATTATTTTTACACATAGATGGCTCTTCAAGTACTAAGTCACCAATGATCCAATTATGAGTACTATCTGTCTCATCTGTTTACCCTTTTCCTTGAATTTAAAAATATTTTCTGTTATCTAATATTACTATAAGCAATGTCAGTAACACTATGATAATTATAGTCTATAATAAAAATATATGCAGAGACATTTCACAAAACAATACCCTTTGGGTTAAAAGACCCTTAAAATAAATTTTAAAAATCCTATTGCTGCCAAGAGGGTATGTATAGAAGTCATGCTCACTGTGACTTAGTTTGTTAACCTTATTTGAAAATTGATGGCCCTACAAGTGCTTGGTTGCTTGGAGTCCACTACTGATCTCACCTATTAACCCTATTCCTTCAATTTGACTCCTTGATGACTAAGGTATTGTGGGACCATCTGTGTGTTAACAAAACTGACAAAACAAAACTATTGTAGACAGTGCATACATCTAGGTTAGGTTAGGTTAACTAAAGGCCTGTCCACACAGGTGGGCAAGGGCGGTGGGCATATCAAAGGGCACTGTAAAGTTGATGTCACTGGCGAGAGAACAAGGAAGCTACTTATTTACCAAGTGGTTTGTCCACCTGTAACATCATTTCTATTCATGCCTGCCGATCATGTCCAGTATGTGGACAGGCCTTAAGGTAAATTTATATAATTTTTACATACATTGCTAAAGTTATGTAAGAAAAGATTTTTAATAAATCTAATACATTTACATGCCACAAACTGATTCCAATCTAACAAACTACTTACTCTGCTTGTGAACAAGATCTGAAAAGCTGGTCATGTTGGTTGACACATAAGAAGGGTTAACAGTCTGAACTGTGATTCCTGAGCTGCGATATTCCCATTGCAGTGACTGGGAGAAGTCATCAACAAAAGCCTGAAAGGGATTGGGTAATCTTGTTATTTCTGTTCACCTCTTATACCCAATATGGGAGGTGGTGGAAAATGTTGGGGAAAAACTACAAATCTCTACATGAACCATTATTCATTATTACAATTTTTGACTTCTTTACTATGTGAACTGTGAATATATAAAATCTCTAAAAATATATATATCAACAATCATACAGGTGTTAATGCAATATAACTTTTCTAATGTATGTGACCATTCAAAATTTAATAAACTATAACAGCAAATGGATTCAACCCTTGACAGTCTCAAGCTCTTTTTTCAGTGTGAATGACATACCTTTGTTGCACCATAGATTCCCATAAGGGGTAGTGGATGTGTGCCTGCAATTGAAGCAATGTTGATGATGGCACCCTTGCGTCGGGACACCATTCCAGGTAGAACTAGTTTTGTCATAGCAAGCGTCGCTGCGACATTGATGTTAACATGACTCCAGACGTCAAACTCTGATGCTTCTCCAAATTTCATTGGATGGGGAAGCATTACTCCCACATTATTTACTGGAAAAATAGTAAATGCTTTGATTTCAAACATTTTCATATTGATGGTAAATATTAAGAAGATACCTAGGCTTCTGCCACTGACCTTGCATTGTTTGAATTATGCTCAGTGGCACTCATGCTAAGATACTTCTGTTGTGTATATATTGTGGCAATTTGTTGTCACCTAATGAAGGTAATTACGAGAAAAAAATTCACTTTGTAGGCCACTGTGAGCGTCTGTTAAATATTTCCAAAACCGACTTGTAAGCCTTGGATTCAAACATAATTAAAATGTTATGCAGTCTTCACATATTAGAAGTGCATGATAATTTCCTATGCATTCATAATTTCTCACAGAAGATATACAAGACATTACAATAAAGAGAGAAAGAAAGAAAAAAGGTTCATACAAATGGTTAATGCTTAAAACAAATAAATGTGCAAGACATCATAAGACATATAGTACTGAGAAAGTATTGTAGCAAAAAGGGTAAAAATTAGCTAATGATTAGAACAAATTTTCTCACGTGGAGGTCAAAGGCTGAACAAGCCCTGTAATATAGTATGAGAGTGAAAAGGCCAAAGAGGAGAGCAAACAGGGTACAGTATGGATTAGTAAAAGGGGGAAGAAAGGGCTTTTTCAATACTATAAAACTAACTTTTTGCTATGAACCATAAATCAGGCTGGAATAAAGAAAGAAAGAAAGAAAGAAAAATAATTATATATGTACATGTATATGTGTGTATCTGTGTGTGTGTGTATATCTGCGTGTATATATCTGTGTGTGTGTATCTGTGTATATATGTGTGTGTGTATCTGTGTATATATGTGTGTGTGTATATCTGTGTGTGTGTATATCTGTGTGTATATATCTGTGTGTGTGTGTATATCTGTGTGTGTGTATCTGTGTATATCTGTGTGTGTGTATCTGTGTATATCTGTGTGTGTGTATCTGTGTATATCTGTGTGTGTGTATCTGTGTATATCTGTGTGTGTGTATCTGTGTATATCTGTGTGTGTGTATCTGTGTATATCTGTGTGTGTGTATCTGTGCATATCTGTGCATATCTGTGCATATCTGTGTGTGTGTGTGTGTGTGTGTGTGTGTGTGTGTGTGTGTGTGTGTGTGTGTGTGTGTGTGTGTGTGTGTGTGTGTGTGTGTGTGTGTGTGTGTGTGTAAAATACATGCCTGCTTACATATATTAATAACATTCATTCCTCTTCCAACATACATTAATAACATTTATTCCTCTTCCAACTAAAATGATCATTCACAGAAAGTGGATTGGTTAATCTTTACAGTATGGATGCACCAAGGTACGAGAAATAATCTGCATACACGAACGGCAATGCCACAAATAATGAAAAAATACTATGGAAAGCATTGCTCAAAGCCTAAGTTCACTCAGTGCTCTCGAGTTTTGGCTCTATCTTGCTGTGCATACCAGCAACAATGTTTCCTGGGGGGGGGGGGTCCTATCAACCCTCCCCTTGGGCAGTACCCAAAGGGTTTGCCCAATCACGGCAATTAAGGTTGTTGAATAAACTTTGTGACGTGATGTTGAGGAGTTAGTCTCTGACGAGTGCATCCTTACTACAAAGAATTACCCTTGATCTTCTGTTTATTACCTAGGATGCCAATTTCTTTGTCCTGAAGATGCTTTGAAATGTCCTGATAGATGGGCTGGCCATTTGAAAAGTCAGCTCGAACAATTTCTGTCTTCACGCCAAATTCCTCACCTGTAAAAATTTAATCAAATCAGAGAAGAACCCTTTAGAAACCCTTTAGAGTCCTAAATCAGCTCTTAATCAAGAATGCAACTACATTTACCAAGACAAGCATACTGATGTAGACTATAAAAAATAACTGAAATTATTTTAAAGCTATATAATTTCAAAATAATATCTTGGATGTCCTACATTTCAATATACAACAAATATCAATATATCATGTCTTTTAAGAGTAAATAAAAATCATGCAACAACTTGGGGAAATCAAGCAATGAAAAAAACGAGAAGAAAAATCTTACTTATTTCTGCAGCAACCTTTTCAAGCTTTGACTGGGTGCGAGAAATCAGGACAATATTCATCTTGGTCTTGGCAAGCTCCTTGGCGTACTCCTTGCCGATCCCGTCAGTGCAGCCTGTAACCACTGCAACAGAGATTTCCCTGAATTCCTTAAAGATCTAGCTTACCAGGTCACAAATTTTCAAAAAGAAAATTACCCTCTTGGCAAAGGGAAAGATCTGTGGAGAAGAGGAATGTGAAAGAACACATGGCAGAAAACAATCGAGAAATGATAAATCATGATTTGGCAATAAAAATTATGAAAATGGAGGAAAGGAAAGTATGGGAGAGGATGAGGATGAGGAAGAGAGAGGGAGGGAGGGCAAGAAGAGATGCAGGGAGAGGAAAGAGAGAAGGCAAAGAGAAAGGAAGGAAAAGTAAAGAAAGAGGAAAAGGAGGGAGGGTGTGGAGAAAGGAAGGAAAAGTAGAGAAAGAGGAAAAGGAGGGAGGGTGGGGAGAGAGGGAGAAAAAGGAGAGGGAGGGAGGGGATAGTGAGGGAGAGCAGAGGGTGAGTTCAATGAAAAGGAAGAAAGAGGAAGAGACAAGGAGGGATGAAGATGAACGGAGGGAGAGGAGGGAGAGAAGGAGATGAGGAATGGAGGGAGAGGAGGGAGAGAAGAAGATGAGGAATGGAGGGAGAGGAGGGAGAGAAGGAGATGAGGAATGGAGGGAGAGGAGGGAGAGAAGGAGATGAGGAATGGAGGGAGAGAAGGAGATGAGGAATGGAGGGAGAGGAGGGAGAGAAGGAGATGAGGAATGGAGGGAGAAGAGGGAGAGAAGGAGATGAGGAATGGAGGGAGAGGAGGGAGAGAAGGAGATGAGGAATGGAGAGAGAGGAGGGAGAGAAGGAGATGAGGGGGAGGAGGGAGAGGAGGAGATGAGGAATGGAGGGAGAGGAGGGAGAGAAGGAGATGAGGAATGGAGGGAGAGGAGGGAGAGAAGGAGATGAATGGAGGGAGAAGAGGGAGAGAAGGAGATGAGGGAGATGAAGGGGAGGAGGGAGACGAGGAGACGAGGAACGGAGGGAGAGGAGGGAGAGGAGGGAGAGGAGGGAGAGGAGGAGGAGGAGACGAGGAACGGAGGGAGAGGAGGGAGAGGAGGGAGAGGAGGGAGAGGAGGAGATGAGAAATGGAAGGAGAGAAGGGAGAGGAGATGAGGAACGGAGGGAGAGGAGGGAGAGGAGATGAGGAATGGAGGGAGAAGAGGGAGAGGAGGGAGAGGAGGGAGACGAGGAACGGAGGGAGAGGAGGGAGAGGAGGGAGAGGAGGAGGAGGAGACGAGGAACGGAGGGAGAGGAGGGAGAGGAGGGAGAGGAGGGAGAGGAGGAGGAGGAGACGAGGAACGGAGGGAGAGGAGGGAGAGGAGGGAGAGGAGGGAGAGAAGGAGATGAGAAACGGAAGGAGAGAAGGGAGAGGAGATGAGGAACAGAGGGAGAGGAGGGAGAGAAGGAGATGAGGAATGGAGGGAGATGAGGGAGAGGAGGGAGAGGAGGGAGACGAGGGAGACGAGGAACGGAGGGAGAGGAGGGAGAGGAGGGAGAGGAGGGAGACGAGGAACGGAGGGAGAGGAGGGAGAGGAGGGAGAGGAGGGAGAGGAGGGAGAGGAAGGAGAGGAGGAGGAGGAGGAGGAGAAGGAGACGAGGAACGGAGGGAGAGGAGGGAGAGGAGGGAGAGGAGGGAGAGGAGATGAGGAATGGAGGGAGAAGAGGGAGAGGAGGGAGAGAAGGAGATGAGGAATGGAGGGAGAAGAGGGAGAGAAGATGAGAAACGGAAGGAGAGAAGGGAGAGGAGATGAGGAACGGAGGGAGAGAAGGAGATGAGGAATGGAGGGAGAGGAGGGAGAAGAGGGAGAGGAGAGAGATGGAAGAGGGGAGATGGAGAAAGAATGAATGTTATCATGAGCGTCGCACAAAGACTGAGGGAATGGACACTGCCATCTCATACAAGGAATAAGAAATAGAGTAATAAACAACACAGGTACAGCTGCTCCGGCCTCTAATTTATCTTGTTCTTAGTGTTCATTTTTTGTTGCTGGCATGAAGTGCTAATAAATAGAAGGTACGAAAGGCTGGGTTAGGATTTTGGGTTCGCGTGATGGCCTGGCTCTGGGGCTTCGCCTCTGGGGGCGTCGCCCTCGATAACAAATGCCGAGGGAGGGAGAGGCCGGGGGAGAGGGGAGGAGGGCGAGGGAGAGATGGAGAGAGGGGAGGAGGGCGAGGGAGAGAGATGGAGAGGGGAGGAGGGCGAGGGAGAGAGATGGAGAGAGGGGAGGAGGGCGAGGGAGAGAGATGGAGAGAGGGGAGGGGGAGAGAATGAATGAGCGGCTTTATAAATCAAAGACCGAGAGAAAGCTGTCGCCGGAGCCGCTCACCCGCCCACTCGCCGTAGCGCTGCACGAAGTTCCTATTCCACAGCCTCGACCAGACGTGCGCTCTCAGGCCAGTCAGGATAGCCCAGGCGTTGGTGATGGCGAGTTTACTCAAATATAGAAGGCCCACGATGGCCAGGGCGCCTTCCGCCGACCCGAGGGCTCGTTCAGGGTTATCGTCTCCCATTGCGGCTGCACTGTAACCTCTTACTCCTGCCGCGAAACGTCAACTGGCGAGGGTGTCCGCTTTTCGCCCTAATTCCGGGAAAGGAGAAACTGGCAACTCAACCGGGGTGCTGGAGTCCTCCGATTCGCCAACTCATTTTGGAAAAAAATAATGTGATGGTCATGTAGTAAATTCAGCTGTAAAAAGCAACGAAAAGAAAAAAAAGCTGAAAAAGTCCCAGAATAGGAAAGCACAAGTATTAAGAGTCAGGTGACTGGAGTAAAAAGCCGACTTGGCGA